AGACAATGTCAACCCACATTCTGCATGTATTACAACAGCATTGCTCCATTGTAAAAGAGTCTGGGCGCTAAACTGGCCTGCCTGCAGTCCAGACCTGTCACTACTTAAAACATCTGGTTAAGACACCAGTAAAGATAAATATACTGATACTAATGAAAACAAAGACTATTAATAATTGTTTTGGCCAAAGTCATCAGATGATTATAGAACAGTAAAGTGTTGAAAACAACTCAAGGCTAGCGCTGCTTTCTTTTTGATGTTACTGACTATGAATAAATTAAACAACAATCTACTTTGAGTATTTTGAGTTTTAAACTGTGGCAGCTACAAAACCACTGATATTTCTCACATCATTTCAAACAGTTGAAATAACGTGCAATGTTAGAATGAAGCACAACATCCAAAAATACACATCAATAGTTTTTAATGAAGGTCTGCACTCCAGTGTCGACATTTGCAATCGTTGTGCATTAGCTTTAGTTTCTCTGCTCAGCATCTTTGCGATTACTGTATTACTATATTATTATGTTACAAGGCCCTCGAAGCAGAGGTTTTACAGAGGCACACTCCAAATAGAGTGTTATGAGAAAAAACAAGAAAAACCAGTAAGATGGTTGCACAAGTGACCAAAGAAATCTATGAATGTGAGAATTGTCTCACATTGCAATAACCATTGTTTTATCTAAGTTTAATTTAGTTTAAGTTATTTAACACACATATATACTGCTACAGGAATAGTGGGAGCATTTTCCTCAAGCATGCTGATCGCAGGTGATGCTGGTTGTCCTGATTGTTATGGAGGGGCTCTCTGTCTCCCTCTGGTGGCCAAAGTTAGAAGGACACATGTCCTGAGGACAAAGGCCTTCAGTTCCATTATCATGTTGCTCAAGAACTTCTTTAGGATAGTGATACCAATTACACTGGCAGAAAGACAGAATCATCACTTGCTTCAGTGGCTACTTGTTTGCAGTTAGAGACACAACTTTCTGATTAGATTACATTTAGTAAAAAAGTGAAAAAAATCCACACAGTGTGCCACATTTTGCTGGAATAGGAGAGAAAGAGGGATTAGGTCTGGGATGAAATTCCTCAAGGTAGTGCAAAAGTTCAAACAGAATCTCAAAATGCTCAAAGTTGTCTCATTAATTTGCATCATGACTATTAGTTAGTAAATGGCAAAAGTGAGCAGATTTTCTGTCATAACTTTGTAACATTACTGCATCAAGACTCTTAGAATTAGTTAGAATTACATTCTCCTCCAATTTTAGAGAAACTTGAAGCTGTTAATAATTTCCACCTCCTAATTATTAATGCTCAAGGCTGCTGGAGCCTCACCTGCTTTGTGGAAGACAACTAGAAGTTATTTGGGTCACACTGTATTTTTGATGGTCCTCTATATATGATCTGCAGAGGTTTAGAGACATCTAGCCGTATTGTTGGAACTGCAGGACTACAGCTGTTAGCTTTGTTGTGTGTGTTTAAGGAATTACCCAAAATTCGTCTCGTCAGCAGGGCAGCACTGAAGGAATTCCAAATGCTTTCTATTTCTATTGTCTTAGAAATAAATGGTTCCTTCCATTGTTTCATTTATAAAACTATCATAAATACATACATATTAAAAAATCACCACAATAATATCAAAACAAGATTTCTGAGAAATTAAAATTTTTTAATGTGACATTTTCCATTGACAGTTTACATGTACGAACATTACAGTAAATTTCCATAAACAACGTTGAATGCCAGATAGTTACAAAAATCAGCTTATGATATGAAGAATACAACAAAAAATACATCTTTATTTAATGTCCGACAGTCATTTGGTGATTTTTTCTGCTGAGTTTTATGATATAAGAAGAAAGAAAGAAAGAAAAAGAAAGAAAGAAAGAAAGAAAGAAAGAAAGAAAAAGAAAGAAACTCAATTTGACTTATTCTCTTCTTTTCTCAGCAATATTGTCTCTCTGGATTGGTTTGAAGTCAGAAACAGGGAAGAATCTCACTCGGGTGAAAACGTTCTCCTTCAGCAGTCGACTCTTGTCAGAGAAATTTAAAGGTGCAAAACTGGACTCTTCAAATAAGTTAATAAATAAGACCAGTGCTGAAATATACAACTCCATTAAGCAGCAAGTATCAATTGAGTTACAATAAGATGCCTCTCTCTCTCCCTCTCTCTCTCTCTCACACACACATACCTGCTATTATTACTCTACTATAAAAAGTTTTAAATATAATTTATTTTCTTATAAGTGAAAGTAAGTTAACACATCCTCTACAGTGAAGATACTAATTAAAACATGTTCAGCTGTTTTGTTCATTGTCATAGTCCACAGTAAATCCTACTGTGGCCTAAACCACATCAGGTCTGTACCTTAAAGATGATCTGGGTATAATTTGAGTGTTTTGAGACTAATTCTGGGGATGTACTTAGAGAAACAATTTGGGTGACTATTGACTTCCAGTGTCTGCTACAATGTTAGAATGTTTGCCTCACAGCTCCAGATTGCAATTGATAAAGGTAAGTGAAAAATTGTTTACATTAGATTTTCATTAAACTATTAAGATGCATTCATTGCAGACACGTGTTAAATTGTTCACACAGAGCTTGAATAATCTCCAGCTTCTATAATGTAATAGAAAAGCAAAGCTCTGAAGCAGCCTCACATGAGCCTAAGGTCGCTATGCCTGGAACCAAGTGTAAAGGAGAGCGGTCTAAAGACCCCCAGTATTGAACTGTGTATTAATGGAGCTCCATCCAATACCTTTGGGATGAGTTGGAGAGATCCAGAACTGATCATCCAGCATCAGTACCTGACCTCACTAATGCTCCTGTGAGGTCTTTCAGGTCTTTCAGGTCTTTTAGTGTCTTTGACCTCAGTAGAAACATTAGATGAGCGAATGTCTAGAGATTTTTGTAAATATAGTACATATGGCGATGATATGTCCTGATGATGTGTATCATATGCTCAAACATGGAACTTGACAGCTGGGCCTGAATAGCTGCACTGATCTGAACTGAACGTCTTCTGGAGGTGTGAAAGTTTCAGCCTCTTTATCTCTTTATCTTATGTATAGTGTGTGGTTGAGGATGCAGTCCAGGGTGCAAATGTAGTCTGATGAATGGGGGGGGCTACACTAAACATGTAGCAATTTAAATTTAAAACTGTGTAAAAAAAGTAAACTTACAGTTACACTTACCATGTTGATATCATGCTTTATAGAATATAAACACAAAAACAAATATTATTATTAACATATTCAGAATTGAAATTCAGTTTGAGACAGATATTCATAATTTTTATGGAGTAACTCAGCAACAATGAGTTCAACAAAGAAGTGTTGAACTGCAGTGCAGGTTTATATATATATATATATATATATATATATATATATATATATATATATATAAACCTGGAACAAAACTCTTTATCTCCATTTTTGACATTTTTCAGTGTTGACATCATTTGAAAATATCTATTAGCCTTTACATTGTGTGTAAATTTCATGATGAATGGACTAAAAGAAATTTTTCAAAATGACTTGGAAAAAAGTCTGGTTCCATTGACTTGCATTAAAAATAAAGGTCTTTTCCTTCTCCTGTAAAGTTACCATTTTAGAGATATGAGATTTTCTTCCGACAACAGCAATGCATCGATTAATAAACAAGCACAGGCATCACTGTTATGCACAGCAGAATACAGATCATAAACATTCAGTGTTTGAATGGATGAAAAGAGTGAATAGTAAAGAATCTTCCTTTACCTTCACTAAAACTGTACCAAAACCTAAGGAGCTTTAGCTCTGTAATGCTGAACAAGCACAGAAAGACGCATGCGGATCTTAAAAACAAGAGTTCATTTATTGAGAGAACAGAGTCAGGGCAAATCCAAATTGTTGGCATTGGATATACAACGTGTTTATGATTAGTTTCCATCTTCCATTTAAATTCAATACCACAAAAATGCCCCCGAACTTCACTTCTGCATTTTATTTGGATAGTACACTTCAAAACCTGCGACAAAATATGTATTAAATTTACCTATTTTTTCCAACTCTACACTGGGCCCTAATCCTAAACTCAACTCAGATCCTAAACTTAAACCAACATCTGTTGAGAATAAATGAGTTTCACCCGGTATGTTCTTATCAATTTGAACCTATAGACAACCATCATGGTGCGTTTCAAATAGAGTACATTTATTCAGTCAGAGCAACAATAATAAGTGAAATATATTCTTACACTTTTGCTTACTTTCTAAATATTATATAAACAATGCAAAAGCAGCAACTGTGCCAGACCCTGTACTGATAATGTACTAGATTTAACCAGCAAAAACAGGCAGTGATTGTCCTCAGTCTTAAGAGCATGAAATGAGGAAATAATGAATAATTCTGGTTTTATACTCTTGGCATTCATTGCTTTACTGTTTATGAACCTCTGTTATTATAAGAAATGCAGCAAATGATTCAAGATATTATATGATATTATTTCTTTATTTATTACTTATTTATAAATGTATTATTTATTACTTAATACACATTAACAATTATTTATTATTATTATTATTATTGTTATTATTATTATTATTATTATTATTATTATTATTATTATTATTATTATTACTATTATATCACTGCTACAGACAATAACAGTAGTGACTTTAAAACGTTTATTTATTTTTTCTCAGATTATCCCTTGTTTAATATGTTTATACATAGCAGAGAGTTTCTCTTATATAGGTCCCTCCAGTCTCTATATTTTGGGTATATTTTGTGTAGAATTTATATATTTTAATTTTAGTATCATCTTTTTGTATTTCTACTTTGTTTGGTCTGCACTGTTTTTTAGTATGTATATAAAGCTGTCCTGCTGTTAAGTGATTACCTGAGCCTCACCACAAGCATTTCAATGTATACATTTTCTGACATGTTGTGCAAATGACAAATAAACTTGAAACTTCAAACATGAATGTTTTAGAAATAGTACGCATGACACTGTAAAATACACTAGTAATAATTTCAATGTTGCTATTCATACTTCAGCAACTAAACAGAACACTTTTCACTCTCTTTTGAGCAAAATGGGGACCTAAACAAAGTACAGCACTTCACTGTAAATCCAAATATCAGCAGAAACAACAAACATTCACAAAGTCCAAAATCAAGAGAAATAATAACATAAACATTATTAAACTAACCTGGAGATCATGTGCAGCTCTGAATATCCCAGTAAAATAAAAACATCCCCAAACTTCCCTTCTGCTCACTAAAGGAAAGAGATCTAGCGATGAGAACGATGAGCTTTAGCATTAGAGCTTCTCACTTGAGAGTACACAATGTCTTCAGGCTGTTCTCTCTTCACTCGTCCAGTTTTGGGTTTGTTCTCTTTGAAATGGATGGGAGCGTAATTCAGACTCTCAGCAGTCTGTGAGAAAGAACACGAAAGGTTCAGTAAGTTCTGTGTGGATTAAACAGTATCAGCATCTTCTGAAAGTGTTACAGAACACAGGTGTTACCTGACTGGTTGTGTTCTCTGATGATCCTTGTTGTTTTCTCACTGTGGTGGAAAAAGAATATACAGCATCATGTTTAGATCAGACAATATTACTTTTTGCCACTTTTACTACATTTACAGTTAGTTTGCACAGCATATTTAACACATAAACATTGTATATCTAAATGTAGATTGTAAATAGAGTATCTATATATTAAATAGTGCATATTACTCCGGTCTTATTTAGTACACAGTGGCTTCCTAGAAGATGTTGTTTATGACTTTTAAAACTCGTTATAGCTGAGCTTCGACACATATTACTGATCTGTTAAAGCGTTATGGTCCAGACTACTTTGTTCAACTAAAGTAAGCTTAGGGAAAACACATAAGACCTTTTACAACTCATAGCTCATAGACTATCAACTCATATTCTCTTCTTTAGTATCTCATATTAGGAATGTATTCCTGTTTGTAATTATAACTGAGCTTGATTCCTGGCCAGGCGGCCAAAGTCCCCAGAAGGATAAGCGACTTAGAAAATGTGTGTGTATTAATAATGTTTGTTTGTATCTCCATATGTTTGTATCTCCATTCTCATGTGCAATATAATCAATACTTCATGTGTAATATTCCATATGCAATTGGGTAAAATATCATTACAGTGTAAAGATTTTTTTTGTTGTTTTCTGTATTTCAGAATGTTGTATTGTTTATTTTGGTGAATAGCATTAATGTGAAACAAACAGAGTTTATGCGTTTGTTTGTTTTTTTGTTGTCGTTGTTGTTTTTTGTTTTTTGTTTTTTTTTTTGTTATTTTTGTTTTTTTTTTTTGCTCACATTAATGCTGAAAAGAACACTATGATTAATGTAGAGAAAAGACCAAAAATCCTCCACTCACCACTGCAGTGGTCACTGTTTCTCCTCTTACAGATTATAAAGGTTTCAGCAGAGATCACAACCACACACACTCCTAAAGCTGCTCCCAGAAAGATCACAGCAGGATCCAGAGGCCCCTCTGAAACAACCAGACATGTAAATATATCATTTTTATTGCTGTTGAATAAAGTTCAAGCCAAAAGAAAATACTATTTGGAATAGTTGTATTTTATTCAATTGTTAAGAAATTAGAAATACTGTAGATTTAGACTTTTGAAGCACTTCAAATATTTTCCTCTTTCCTTAGCCAATCATTTTTTTTTTAATTGCACTACTGACCATCACCTTACATGCCCTGAAAAAAAAAAACAACTTTTCACTCATTTGTTAAAAAATCTAGTTTTTACTTTTATATACATGAAGACGTTGATATAATGATTCTCACAGTATTTTCAGCTCTGTACTTCCAAATCTAACCTAATCTAATTTTATTTAAGCACTCATACTTTCACATGAGTACAGTTTCTCTGCTCTTGTTCTGCTCCTAAAAGCTATATTAGCAAATGGTTTGTAAAATATGAATGAAGGAATAATCTGCTCACAGCCTTACTGTAATGTATGAGTGAGACTCGGATAGCATACAGTACAAAAATGCATAAACCAAATTGTTAAAACATTCTGTCTCAACAGTTGCTAGTAAAAACTATATTACATTATAATAAATATAATTAAATATGAAAACAGTGAATATAAGTAAATATTTAAAGTTTTCAAATAGGTATTTGATTTCTTGTGAGCTGGTTAGAAGAACATAGCCTATCATATAGATTTGTACAAATTTGCTGTTACTGATTTAATTTGATGAAACGCTGATTAGACCAATACAGATACAGGATGATGATTACAAAAGATATTGGGATACTTCCAGTAGAGGCTTCCAGGAGAGGTTTGGAAATGTAAACATTTGGCAGAAAATCAATACATATTTTATTATTATTATTTGTGTTTATTCTACTATTACTGCTTTTCTGAGCAAATAAACACTTCCTAGGTAACTAGATTTAAATATATGTATTCCTAAAACTTTTGCAAAGTACAGAATGCAAAAGGGCTAAATACTTTTAAAAGACGGCTTACACAATATAATTAACTCAGTCAATAAAGTGAAAGAATATGATCAGTTCTAATATCTACATCCATCACACAAGTTGTCAATGACCAATGACTTTAAAATTCTTAAATATTGCTTACTCGGTTGTACTAATGCTCCATTGCTAAAAAGTATCTTCCCACAAGCAGCCACAGCGCAGTAGTAAGTTCCAGCATCAGAGTCACTGAGGTTGTTCTTGGAGAAGTTGTGCACACATTTGTGTGTAGAAGAGCTGATCTCACACTGACGGCTTCTGCTGTTCTCATGAGTGTAAATGATTTCAGGAAAGGATTGTCCTGCAGCAGCTCTGAACCACAGCACTCTGAGTTCAGCTGCTCCGGTCTTAGAGTGGACCGTGCACTGCAGAGTGACCGACTCTCCCGGAGAAATTGACTTCCATACTGGAGTTTGAAGCACTGTTACATTTAACTGAGGTTGACCTGGTCAAGAAAATAAAGACATTGCAAGATCTTAGTGCATATTGATTTTTTTCAGACAGGCATATGATTTATACAATAATGAAGTGTAAAATCATAATGTCATTACCTGTCACGGCTAAGAATGTGCCATTAGAAAATGTAATGGTTTTTTCTGTAATGTCTACTTTTCCACAGAAGTACATTCCTTCATCATCTTTAGTAGTTCGTACAATAGTCAGAGAAAAATGCTGGTTTATGTTGAATCTGACTGATGTAGTAGTTGCTTTTATTTTGTTGGGTAATTTCACTGCAACTTCCTGAGGTTCCTGTCCTGCTCTTTGTTTGTACCAAACCAAGTTAGTTTGAGAAAACCTTTCCACAAATTTGCAGTGTAGAGTAACAGTTTCACCAGGCTCAGCTGAGCCAAAAGATGCCTCAGAAAGCTCCACAGCTTGAGCAGAATCTATAAGATACAATAGATACAATCAGATCAGAGCTAAGCTGATAAAGACAATAGCTAATAACATTTTAACAAGCACAGTTAAACGTAAATCCAAGAATTAAGAGTTATTGATAACATAAGAGCTCATAAGAAGCTCATGAACTTACGTGTTATGTAGAGACATAAGATGAGAATCCATATCAGAGCCATCACCATAAAAGAATCAGATCTTCACTGAAGTAAATTTGAGAGGTTGCAACTGACAAAAGCATCAGGTTAGCTTGCTGGGCATGTGAGTGTAACCTCATTGGCTGGAAAAAGTCACAGTTTTTTTTTTTTTTTCTGACTGCTTCACTGACTCATGTTCGGCCCTCAGAAGTCTTTTGGTCTTCTTCCATGTCTATTTAAGTCTTACGATAAATTGTTTTGATTCCATAAACAAGAAATAAACCCATCTGTTCTATTACACCTTAATACAGCAGGTTTTTTCAAAAGTTTATTCTATAAAAGCAGCAAAAACTCTAAAGACCCAGCAATAATATCAATAATAATAAAGAATGTGCTTGTAAGCCCAGCAAACAACATAGCAGACTGAAAGAAACTTTCAAAAACAGAAGCTAGATCTGATGCAATCATCAACTTATCCGTGACCAAATAGTAATAATTTAATTTCAGTCTTATTGGTGCAGTTGGTCATTAGTTCATGCTTATAAAAAGGGGAAGAATGTACACCCAATGTAGTAGACCTTGAGACCAGTTTTGAGAACACAATTACGTTATCTCAGTCTTAGTCTTTGTCTCAACATTTTGTCTTAATATGTTTTCTCAGTCTGAGAGTGAGGCCTGTCACAGTCACACCTTGTATATCTATGGTGCTGTGAGGTCTGTAACACATGACATTAAAAGGCTGACCTGGTGTAGAAGAGAAAAGCAGTGAGGAATGGACAGGTCAAAGACATTTAATTAAACCAGCCACAAAACACTTACATACACTATCAACTGAGTACTTCAACATTTATGTTTACATTTATATTTACAACATTTAGCAGACGTCTTCTGTCTGCGTTTGAAGAACGCTAGAGAATCTGCTGTTAGGACATCCAGTGGGAGTTTGTCCCACTACTTGGGCGCCAGGACAGAAAAAAAAAATGATGCTTGGCCATGCATATTGAAGGATGGCAGGTCAAGCCAAGCTGCACTTGAGGTTTGAAGGGCTCAGGGTACAGTTTGAGATTTGACCATTGCCATAAGGTAGGGAGGGGCTTCTCTGTTTTTAGCTTTGTAGGCAAGCATGAGGGTTTAAAATCTGATTTGTGCAGCTACAGGAAGCCAGTGAAGGGAGTGCGGCAGTGGAGTGATGTGAGTGAACTTAAAGACAAGCTGTGCTGTTGCATTCTGGATGAGTGGCAGGGGTGTGGTGGCCTGCATAAGAAGACCAGCCAGGATCGAGTTGCAGTAGTCAAGTCTTGAGATGACATTAGACAAAACTACCACCTGGGTGGCCTCTTGAGTGAGAAAGGGTCTAATCCTCCGGATGTTGTACAGGAGAAACTTGCATAACCGAGTCAGGTTCGCAGTATGAGCTGAAAATGATAACTGGCCACCCAGAATCCCACCAAGACTTCTTGCATCTTCAGATGGAACAATCAGAGAGTTCTTGAATAAGATGGCAAGATCATGGTGAGGATCTGTAGTTCCCAGGAATGAATAGCAGCTCAGTCTTGCTAGGACTGAGTTTGAAATGATGAGCTGCCCTCCATGAAGAGATGTCAGTCAGACATGCTGAGAGGCACCTGGAAACCTGAATATCAGAAGGTGGGAAGGAAAGCATTAGTTGGGTGTCATCAACATAGCAATGGTAGGAGAGACAATGAGAGGATAATACATCACCAAGAACACGAGGGTGAAGTGAAAAGAGAGGAAGACCCAGCCTCGAGCCTTGTGGAACACCAGTGGAGAGCCTGCATGGAGAGAATATGGACCCTCACCATGTTACCTGATAAGAGCGCCCCTCCAGATAGGATATCAAGCCAGATCGAGCCAATCGATTCCAAGGTTGGTGAGAACAGCCAGTCTTGAGCAGTTCTACACTAATTACACACATACACCCATTTACAATAAAGCTGTGCCCTGTTCACACACACCAAAAATAAAGCTGTGCCCTGTTCACACACACCAAAAAGAAAGCTGTGCCCTGTTCACACACACCAAAAATAAAGCAATCCTCTGCTCTGCATCTACTGCTGTCCTTTAGTTGCTCAGGTCAGAATAATTTCATTACTTGTTTTGTGGAAATACAAAATCAGAATGATGTTAAGAGTTGATGGTATGTTGATAAATAAACCAGCATATAACATCACTTGTGAGCTGAACCTGGAAGAACTGACTTGCCCACACAAATACCCACCACTATCAGTGGTTCTCAGAAGTGCTTTAGCTGCTGAAGTGAAAGGTCCTTCTCCAGACTACTGCCAGGTCTTTTACTGAGGCAGGAAGTGAAGATCAGCACATCCCTCAATATTACTGATACACCACAGCACAGAAACTACTCAAGGCACAACGTTAGAAGGACACATGTCCTGAAGACAAAGGCCTCCAATTCCATTTATCACGTTGCTCAAGAACTTCTTTAGGACAGTGATACCAACTTTATTGGCAAAGAGACCAAAACTTAATTTGCTTCAGTGGCTCCTTGTTAGCAGTTAGCGGCAAATAACTTCCTGATTAAATTTCAGTTAGTAAAAAAGTATTTTCTGATTAATTCCACACAGTGTGCCACATTTTGGTGTAATGGGAGAAAAGGGATTAGATCTGGGATGAAATTCCTGAAGGTAGCGCAAGGGTTCAAATAAAATCTCAAAATGCTTAAGGTTGTCTCATTCATATGTAGCATGACTATTAGGTAGTAAATGGGCAAAGTGAGCACGTTTTCTATCATAGCTTTGTAACAATACCTGCATCAAGACAAAAAAGGTTAGAATTACATTCTCCTCCAATTTTAGAGAAACTTGAAGCCGTTCATAATTTCCTCTTCCTAATTATTAATGACCAGGGCCGCTGGAGTCTCACCTGCTTTGTGGAAGACAAACAGAAATTATTTGGGTCACACTATATTCTGATGATCCTCTATATATGATCTACAGAGGATGTGGTTTAGAGACATCTACAGCCGTATTGTTGGAACTGCAGGACTACAGCTGTTCCAACATCTATTTGTTGTGTGTGTTTAAGGAATTACTCAAAAGTCATCTCCTCAGTAGAGCAGAACTGAAGGAATTCAAAATGCTATCAAACGATTTGCATGTTTCTATATCTTGGAAATAAATGGTTCCTTTCAATGTTTCATTTATAAAACCATTGTAAATACACATACACACACACACACACACACACACACACACATATATAATAAAATAGCCACAATAATATCAAAAGGAGACTTCTGAAAAAAATTAATTTCTTTAATGTGACAATTTCCATTGACAGTTTTATATTTACTACAAGTAAATTTACATAAACATCACTGAAAGCCAGATAGTTTTAAAAATTTTTCTAGAAAACACTGACAATTTTTATGAATACTTTTAAATGAATGTGACTTATTTTCTACATTTTTCAGCAATATTGTGTTTCTGGATTGCTCTGTAGTCAGAAACAGGGAAGAATCTCACTCGGGTGAAAACATTCTCCTTCAGCAGTCGTCTCTTGTCAGAGAAATTTGAAGGTGTAAAACTGAACTCTTCTGCATCAGAGTCCTATTTCAGAATAAATAAACAAATAAATATACAAATAAGTTAATAAATAAGGTCAGCATCAAGGCAAGTATCAATCTAATCTCTCTCTTTCTTTCTCTCTCTCTCTTTCTCTCTCTCTATTTTGTTAATATATTTTATTTTCTTATAAGTGAAAGTAAGTTTGCTGGCAAATTATTGTTTACATTTGATTTTCATTAAACTGTTAAGATCCATACATTGCAAGCATGAGTTACATTGTTTACACAGAGCTTGAATAATCTCCAACTTGTATAATCTAATAGAAAAGCAAAGCCAGTAGAACAGGACGCTCTGAAGCAGCCTCACATGAGTCTAAGGTCACCATGCCCAGAGCCAAGTATCGAATAGAGGGGTACTGAACCCAGTATTGAACTGTGTAGTAATGGAGCTCCAACCATTACTTTTAAGATATGTTGAAGTGATCCAGATCTGATCATCCAGCATCAGTACCTGACCTCACTAATGCTCCTGTGGCTGAATTCTGCATTTTAGTGTCTCTGACCTCAGTAGAAACATTAGATGAGCGAGTTTCTAGAGATTTTTGTAAATATAGTACATATGAGTGTCAACTGATGATGTGTATCATATACTCAAACATGGAAATTGACACCTAGCCTTGAATAGCTTCACTGATCTGAACTGGTGTTAAAACCACACCGTCTTCTGGAGGTGTGAAAGTTTCCGCTTCTTTATCTCTTTATCTTATGTTTAGTGTGTGGTTGTGGATGCAGTCCAGGGCTCAAATTTAGTTTGGTGAGTGGGGGTGGGGGGGTGGGGGGATACGCTAAACAGCAAATTAATTTTAACACTGTGTTAACAATGACAGTTATAATGTTGATCTCATGCTGTATAGAATATAAACACAAAAACAAATACTATTATTAACAGGAATAATGATATTATAAATATTCGGTTTTGGTTCCTTTCACGATGAGATTTTGTTTTCCATTGTATTACTTAAATGCTTAGTGTGGTCTGCATGTTGCTGTATATATATTATCAA